GGGTCATCTATAGACGCTCTATCAATTAAAGAGCCCTTATTGAAGATTGTTTTTCCGGCTTTGTGCATTGTACACCATCTTTCGCGAGCAATTCAAAATGGTCACTACCTCCCATAAAATTGCCAGTCTTAATGCAAAAATTGTTAAATCCTAGTCATAGCCTTGGTGGCCTTTAATTTGCGACAAGTCACTTAGTGTTGCAGTGATAATTCTGGCTGTACGGTCCCTACTTCAGCATCTGAACATGTGTTGATGACACTCTGCTGATCACAAAACTGCAGATATCGACTTCAAATTGCATTGTACGACAGAGCAATCTATTCCGGAACGTAAAAATTTATAAGAAAAGATAAAGTTTACAAACATTGTTGAAGGGTACAAAAATGGTTGATTTTGTAGTCAACCACGCATCGATGGTTTCAACATTTCAAACAAATTAACACGCTCCGCATTCAGCAAGTCGATGAGACGGTTTTCCTTGAGGTACCGTTAAAGGTGCCAATTGTTTTAAATCGCTGGCTCCCCTGTAGGCCTACACCATTATAGACTTAGCTTAAATCTATAATATATTTATATAATATTTACATAATATCTACAATAATAATAAAGAGATCTAAGCCTCGTTCATACATAATATAAATAAATAATATAGAATACATAAAACATATTATTCGACGATCGCTGCTGTACGGCCTTCTTAATATCTTGATCTTCTTGATATCGGCAAAGGTACATCGATGTAATTACCAAATTTACATAGAAAGATAATGCCAAACTTACCATTGGCCTATGGAAGTGTCGCATTCCTGCTGAAGCGGTTGTTATTTTAATCTGAAATGAAATAAAAACAAATGAATAATTTATACATAATAATAAGAAAGGGTAAATGTAAATTTACCTTTAGCATATTGCGAATCTTCACCTATACGAGGCGATGAGTGGAGATTTGGACTTAATTTTTCTTACCTAACATAGAAGAAATAAATAAGTAAGATATAAATATATTATTACAATATTATAATTAGCTTTACTTGGCTGGTTTCGGGGTCCGATTTTCCTTTATTATATGGCTTATGGACCGTCTCTATTATTATGATCAAAATACACACTTGTTTCGTATTTTCAACTCAACTGATTGAATAACCAAAGAATTCATTTTATTTATCTATAATTTACATGCCATTTTATTACAGATTATTCTTTTTGGACTTAGCGCTGTGAATTGTACTGCAAGAAAAACATTTTTGATAAAAATATTTCAAGGCAAATATATTGCTTGCACAAATCGTCGCACGCGTTTTTATAATCGAATCATTGAAAATAGTATCAAAATAAATTCAACAAGTATGTGCGCCCCCATATTATTGATGTTATATTCGCCATTGTTTTTTTTTAAATCTCATATTGTTATTGCACGCAGATTGTCCGTAAGCACATTTTATGGTCATGTTATGTTTTTTTGCATTAAATTATTAAAAATAAAAAAAAATTTAAATTGATTTATTATATTTTTGAATACATATTTAATGATTTTTTTTAGAATTTAAGCAATAATTTTGAATGAAAAAATCTATGAAGTGCATTCGCTTTGAAACGAATTTTAGTACCTAATATCAGTATTAATCTACAAGTAAATATTCCTAATGTCTTCAAACAATTCCGTAAATGGAAGGAGTACATCAACAATAGATAAAAGAGTTTTAATTTACGACCCAGAATGATTGTCGATTACACAATTTATATTTCTATGTAAAAGTACTTTTTGTCAGCTAATTGACACTCTTGCATTTACAAAGCGCCAATATATTTTGATGGCTATGTAAAATTCGCCCTATCGCGAATATAGTATCTATATATTAAGGTTAACTGTATCACGCTTAACAATTTTTTATTCTCATCTAGCGAAATGACGAATGTGGCGAAAGATTTTTAAAAGTTATCTCGTTCTATTCGAAACTATTAACGCATATACTACTTGGATATATAAGACTTCAAATAAACCTCCTTATAATAAACCTTCTTAGTTGGCCGCAACTTGTTTGTTAAGTTGTAACTATTTCTTGAATATTGTTGAGCTCATCGCGTTTCTATTATTATATTTTCTCAATTTTTTCGTACGTAAATTTCGCCTCTGCCGTCAAATTCTTTGCTGTCCTTTCTAATCCTATCGTGTCTAAATTAAAAAAATATATTTTGGTTATTTTGTGGTTGAATAATTTTTATCAAATAAACTTCAACTTGATTAAAATAAACAAATGCGTTTTCTGTAGTTTTTTGCCCGAATTGCTTCATTGGGAGTGTTCTTGATGGACAAATTGTCCCATCAACACGAGCTCTCCCTGAAAGCCGGCTTTTACATTTAAAAAAAAGCCGCAGTGGCCAGGTACCCAAACGAGATGACAGTCATCCACTAAAGATTCATGCAACGTCTTATGAATATCAAACACATATTGATTCTCTGCATCTCTTTTATTTATTAGAAGTAGAGGTGACCTGCTGTCAGCAAAAATAACAAACTTTCTGATACCATCGGAGATAGCAACCTTAATAGCATGTCGAATGGCGAGCTACTCAATAAAAGTTGAGGAAAGTTCCTCCGCCACTTTGACTCGATGTACTGTTTTAGATAGATGTTTCACGACCAAGAAGCGAGATACATTATGTCCGACGGAACCGTCGGTAGCATATACATCGTAGCCGTTGTTGTAATAAAAAAGGACCTTTTCTTAGCATAACATCCTCATACAAGAGAAGTTGACATTTTGTTTTGAGGTAGAGATCGATTCGAGAATGTTCGTGAAGTCTCTGCATTTGCTGGCAATGAAATGGAAGGGAGGAATTGAATCCAACTTATCAAAAATATGATGAAGTTTTTGTTAACAAAAAGTATAGCTGCAAGTAACAGTATCACTGAGAGATATAATTTCCTGAAAAAAGAAAGGAGAAAACACAGTTCATTAACGCACATATTCGTAGATTTGCATTTTTGATCGGCGTAAGAACGTGCTGGAATAATGTTTCCAGTTTTCAAGAATTCCATTAGCCTCTCCTTAATCGTGCGGTTCATAATTTTATAAATGCAGATATTAGCGAAATTGGTCTGAAGTTATTTAAATCATTTAAGTCTTTACCTGCCTTAGGAATAGGCACTACTTTGATACATCGCAAATCTGAGGGTAAAAAGTTAATGGGCAAGCAGTTGTTAATTGCATGCAAGAGAATGCTAAAGCTTCCTCCAGGCAGTGCTCTGAGCATGTCACACTTGAATCCATCACAACCTGCAGCAGTAGCTCTCTTTCTGGAATGTAAAACATACATTAGCTCATGCAATGAAAAAGGGGTGTTGCTGAGACTACTAAAAGGAATCGAAGGTATTGTAATCGGATTGACACTTGGAACGTAGCTCTTGAGCATGTCCAAGTATCTTTTATTCCATACAGCACAACCGATTAATTTTCGACTAGAATGTCGATGACCATTGATATAATTCCAGAAATAACGTGGTTGCCGTTACCACATAAATCTTTAATCGCAATAGCTGTATGTGTCCTTTTCGCCTTTCTAACTGCAGACCTCCATTCTTTCAGTGTTTTCATATATTCATTGTAATTGGCTGGATTGGCATATTTATTCATTTTTTTCCTTCCAGGTTGGTATTTGCGGAAAAGTGTTGACAGGGAAGACTTCCACCAAGGTTCAGGTGGGAAGGACTCAGTGTTACGAAAGATGGTCTAGCAGACCTGATCACAGACTGAAAAGCACTTTGAGTTGATGATAAATCAGAAGGAAGATCAACTTTAGACAGACGGTCCATAAAGAAGTTGCGTGAAATGAAATTTTTTATTTTCTTAACGGAATTGTTACAACTGTGGAATAAAATGAGAGAGTGCTGGCTTTAAATTGATTTTTTCCCATTTCATTCTTTAAATTTTCGGCTTTGGTTTTATGTAGGGGGTGCGGTTTTGATGTTTATTTCCGCTATTTTGTCAAAGTATTTAGAAGTGTTTAAGACTGTTTAAGACTGTGTAAGACTGTTTAAGACTGTTTAATAGGGTTTTATATGGTTTCTATGTTTAATTCCGCTATTTTTTCAAAGTGTTTAGAAGTGTTTAAGACTGGGCTAGGTTTTAATAAACTGTATAAACATTAGTGATTGCACCGCTCAGTGCGAATTCTTTGGCAAAAATATCAATGGTTTGTAAACTTTTTAATTTAATTACTTTCATGTAATATCTTTCTTTTAATATCTTCTTTAATACTATTTCAGGGATTATGCGATAATCTTCTTATGTGTGTAGTACGCACTTGGGATTTGAAAAAACCGCTTTTATTTTGCCCTGCTATGAATACATGCATGTATGATCATCTAATTACTTCAGGCCAAATTAATAAACTGAAGTCTTGAGGCCACAACGAATATATATATATACCAAGTATAACAAAGCCTCTAACATGTGGTGATACTGCTCGCACTATAATATTCATACAATTAAATAAAAGATTGCAAATTTATTCAAATCACCTGTACGAATATATGTAAAAATTAACCCCAAATATTCAAAAATATGCGAAAATCGAACGGCAGGTCTATTAAAATTTACTAAAACTAATCAGCAGAATCTGTCCAGAAATCGTACGAGATCTTCTACGCGACCATAAGGCTGCACATGCTCGCAAGGAATAATGGCATGCGTATATAGGCAACAATAGTGACACGAATTACCTTTTTCCGCAGATAAGGATTATGCAGTAGAAGTGAGCTGCACCGCAGAAATTTTCTCGGGTTCGTGCTGGTAACATTACTGTCCGGAATAAATTTCAGAGAGAAAATAGACACCAACATCACGTGGTCGTAAGTTCCTCCGCGCGCCATCTCCGCCTTCCTCGCAATATTCGCTGCATTCCAATGGTAAGTTTGCATCTATTTTTATTGATTGTTATTTATAACTTAATTATTTATTTTAATTTAATTTTAGATTGAAACATAATAAGTCAATAAAAATTGCTCAGCCTAAAAAGATAATTTTTTTTTCCCGTGAAGGAAAAAAACTTAATAAACTTAACCATTACTTATCTGTGCTCACGAATCAATTTCCCATTGAATCAAACTTCATTCAATGCTTGGCCGATAATCTTAATGCCGAGATAGTTTTGGGGACCATTGCAAATGTTGAGTTATACCTATCTGTTTGTGCGATCAAGAGTTTTATGAAATGTTTTCAAAAATATATCATGAGAAAGCAGTGAGGAAAGTAAGACGAAAATACGATTATTTGAAAACAAGAACTAACCTTACCTTTTTAACTAGTTTGTCGTGTTACATATTTCCGAAGACGCCAGCGCGCATTTTCTTGGTTGTAATTTCATTCAAGATTATTTAACGGTTTGCCTGGACAACCATTATCAACATCAATATTTCATTATGAATAATGTTAAATTTTTTCTTCAAATATTTTTCAAATTATTAGAAAGTAAGTTAATAATCCCTAGAGTTTAAACAAGTTGATTTTCTATATATTTTTCTAAATTCAAAATAGCTCCTATGTTATATACTGATTGTCGTAAATGTAATGAAATTTTGGAATATTATGCTGCCTTAATGTTATTAGATTCATGCTATCGTTTACATCAACATTTTTGCAAATTTGTCTTGGAGGAAAAGTGGATTTTGGCTTTTACCAGTTAGCAAGTATTTAAAATTTATTACAGCTAAATTATTTTACTAATTTATGAATGGAAGTGATTGCTACGGGCTGATTATTATTTTTCTTCTTCTTTTTTTAGTTACCAACATTTCAACATGGACTCCTATGCCGTGAGTTTGGAATTGTGGATAACATGCTTAGGACATTAGGACATTACACCGTGCATAAATTTAATAAAAGAATATTCTTTATATAAGATTTAACAAAATCGTTCACTGCGAGAATTCCTGACCACGTACTTTCAGAGCAGGGCGAGAGATTAAGGGAATTGCTATTGTTTGGCAATGATAAATATAATGTTTCGCTTTTCAGTCTCCGTTCGGACCCAGATTTGCAAAACTTAAGACGCTAAATGGAAACTCTACGGGAGTTGTACGCCCTTCTTTAATTCTTTTTCATATCTACTAAAAAAATATCGTTTTGCTTTCTTTGCTATACTCTAAAGCAAAATTTTATGTTACCATTTTGTTGAACTTTCTTTTTCACTTTTTGTTTCTTGTATCCTTTGTTTTCTTCTACTTAGATCCATGACCAACTACGGCAGTGTGTTGATAGATAAACTTTTGCTGGAAATTTTATGCGCGATTTTACTCATTTATTTATTTTCGTTGTTTTTGTTGTCATGTGTTTAACTTCTTTTTATTATTATTATTATTATTATAATTTTAGACTAATGAAGTAAATTCTTAGACTTTGTCACTCTTTTCCAAATCGCCTTCAACGAAATTAGCAAAATTCTTTGTCGTATACCAAGAGTAGAACATTGCCTCTACGCAGACGATGTATACATTTTTACAAAAGAAAAAGATAGCACGAAGGCAATCAACATCCTCGAATCTATTGGACGAGAGATCTCCGCATGGGCAAACTCGTCGGGGGCTAAAATGTCCATACAAAAATCTAAAAAATTCACATTTGTCGAAAGCAGATTTGCGATGCAGGAAATCTACTGATGCATATTAATGACTTCCCAGTACTAAATATGCCGACACTGCACATTCTCGGACTCACTTTTTCCAACAAATATTGTTGGAAAGCACACTGTCTGCGGTTAAAAAACTCTATTTTAACAAGAGTGAATTTCATTCAGTACGTTGCTGGGAGAAGCAATGCGCATATTAACACTATTGCTTATCTTGCCAAAATGCTTGTGTTAAGCAAGATTGACTATGCTTTGATAATTTATGGCAATAGCTCCAAATCTAATGTCAACATTTCTAAACTGGTCTACCACCAAGCCGTTAGAGCAAGTTGTTATGCTTTTCGGACGACGCCCATAAATAATATTATAATTGAAACTGGTCTCCCAACTTAAGAAAATAGACTTTATGAGTTAAAAGCCAAAATAGTCCCCAAGCTTCTTAATTCAAACAAATCTATTCTCGGTGATGACGTGAGAAAGATTATTATTGCGAAGAAAATTTCAAAGTCACCATCTGCAATTAACTATTGTTTGTACGTCGCAAAGGATTTGAACATTCCCTTAAAAATTTTCCGCTCTTTTGGTGTTAAACCTCCACGGATTTTGAAAGACTGCTCTTTTGACATTTCGCTATCTATGCACAAGAAAGAAAATACACCAAATTACGTCTTCAGGAATCTAATAGCTGAGAAAACCCAAGTATT